ATGAGCCAAGATAAAAATTTGATTGACAGTTTTTTTCATGTCCAGGGGCAAATATTTCAAACACATTCAGGATGAGAACAAAATATAAATAGATGTAATAGCTTGGTTCTGTAATAGGGATCGACCGGGGAAAAGGAGGGGAATTTCAACAGTCACCAGCTGAAAATGTGGCCAGGTATAATGGATAGGGCATGAATTTTCTTCCTTGCATCAGGCTACCCACGGACCCATAAAAGAGTTGCTGCAAAAATTCTTAACGTGCAGGGAGCGTGGTACTCTCTCTTCACGAGGCCTCAATTCGTCCCTTTTCTAACCGGACGTGGTTGCGTACTCACACATCCCGCACAACCAAACAGATGCTCCACTTTGACAAGGGTTTTACTTGTGGTCGGAGGAAAACCATATTTCTATACCACCAGTCACCTTTGGGGTTCAAGGATGAAGACATACTACTGTACATGTCTTGTATGTACAGAAAATGAGAATAACACAGGCCTGTATATAAGTAACATATATATATGTACAGGCACTCTTTCATACATTCAATTCAAAATATGGACTTAAAATATGAACAATTTCATTATTTGTTATGAATTAATCTAAGTTAATATGGCCATGTTCAGATATTATTATGTTGGTATCTTCTTCTGAAAAAAAAGAGATAAATTCCCCTGAATATATTAGACATCCGGACAATTTCCAAAGAGTCTTCATCATTATCAATATTTAGAGTATGGTATCTTCTTGTGTATACTTTGAAGGTCTAACCACAACATTATGACATTTCTTTAAAAACATATCATCTAATTGTGGGTCATAGCTGCAACTTAGGTAGATTGTTACAAGTATGCACATGTACATTTGTACCACAATGAAGAAGAATAGCATACTTTACCAAAACCATTAAGATTGAGAATGGAAACGGGGATGGCCAAAGAGACAACAACCCGACCAAAGAGCAGAAAAAGCCGAAGACTACCAATGGGTCTTCAACACAGTTAGAAAATATAGCACCCGGAGGCAGGCTTCAGCTGGCCCCTCAATAATAATGTATACTGTCTAGTTTATCGAAATGGATGCCACACTTAACTCCAAAGTAACGCTCCTTCTTGTATTTCAGATACAAATCATTTTAGTTATTTTAAGGATGTATTTCAATGCAAAATTTCATTGTATAATTTTATAATATTTTGTTTATACATACTGTTTAAAACTGTCCCCTACAACAATATATAGCACTGAATAACCTTTTGAATTAATAGATAGATATCTGTAAATTTTTGGAAAATCTTCAATATGTATTGACTCTAGAATACACCGGATTTGTAACCTCCAAGTAAAAAAACTTTTTGAATAATAAGATATTATTTTTTTTAAATATTAAATCGAAATATTACAATGCATGTATTTGAATCAATCCGTGTGGTGGTGGATGTAAACGACAACTATTTCACATGAAGGAGTCAAACCAGCTAAGAAACTCTTATTCATCTGTAGATTGATCTTTATACATGACACGATATGTGGTTTATAATTATAATTGGCTTAATGTCCAGTGGCAAACATTTCATATATGCTCAATAAGTTAGCAAATCAAATTGTTCATTTATTTATGGTCTTCAAAAATAGACGATCGCAGAATGAAGGGCAGGAAATCAAGACTTCCAAACGTTATAGCGGGATTGTTAAGTATGTGTGTGGATTTGACTTGCAGAAAGATAAATGCTCTCCGCAAACAAGGCTTCAAATTTAAAGTTGACATACTGTTGCTTTGTATTTATGCATCCGATATACCAAACAGCTAAAGTACAGCCACCTCAATAAGGGTCTTGCATCCGAAAAACCTGGGCCAACAATTTGGTTTGAAAAAGGGATAGTATAGCCATGCATATTTTTAATTCAGGTTACAAAATGTTCAAGCTTAGAAACATTACATCTGGGTTAAAAACAGCTAGATTCAATACAACTTTCTTTAATTTATATATAATATATATAATTTGAAAGGAACTTTAAGATTTTCATGGATATATAGTTTTAAAAATGATATTATTATGAATGAACGCTGTTACATGTAAATCAAAATCACATTAATATAAACTGTATCGTGGTAAAAAAATCTTAATTCAACTTGATAAATGTTGTTAGATTTTAAACATATACATACAACACTTTGACATACGCTTGGTTCAAGTAAGTGCAGCAATTTTGCAATTTCGAAATGAATTTAGTGAATGGTTTAGTGTTTTTTGATTGGAAGCATTTATGTAACTTTCTAAGACCCCGTTTACACTTGTAAAAAAGATCGATTTTTCTTGAGATTGATCTTAAAAAGATCCTTAGTCTAATGTAAACGGGAAAGATGGATCTTCAATCGGACTTAAAAAGTCCACCACCAGAGGTGGTTTTAAAAAGATTGATCTTATTTGAATCGATCTTTCTTCAAGTGTAAACGGTAAGATCGATAGCGATCTATCTTTCTTCAAGTGAATGATATATTTAGATATGAAAATAAATCTGCGCGTGATCGGCGGCAAAAACACACGTGTTTAAAAACAATGGATTGGAAAAGATTCCGCCGTTTTTGGATCATTCTTCTGAATCGATAAATTCTAGTTCTTTGCTGCAAATCCTCATCTTCAAAGGCATTGACAGTTTGTTTTTAAGTGATAGTCTTCTCGCATTTCTTTGTTTAATGACTTGTGACGTGTGAACCAAAAAGATAATTGATGACTGCATACGAAATTCAACTATTTTCTCCATAATTTTGCAGTGTGTGATAGTCCGTGCGAAATGCACTCGTTATTATTCAATTCTATTTTTACGATTATTTGTTTACGAAATGTAAAGTAATCAGGTCAGACCGGTCCTGTTTATGTTGCAGTGTAAACGCACTAGATTAAAAAAGATCGATCTCGATTGATCTTGCTTGTGTAAATGTAAAAGCGAACTGGTCTTTTTGAGATCGATTTAAATAAATATCAGTTCAATTTCGTACCAATGTAATATTTTAAAGAAGACGTGTTTCATGTAGTATGTGTTCCGTGACACAAATTCCATGTTGAATCAAATGCTTATTATAAATTTTATACTTGTTTCCTTCAAATTTAATCAATACTGAATGGTAATAACTGAGGACAATCAAAAACAAGCTTTTATAGCCGACCACAGGGTATGGTTTTTTTCTCATTATTGAAAGCTGTATGGTTGCCTATAATTGCTAACATCCACTTCATTTGAACTTTGATGGATAGGTGTCTCTTTGGCAATCATACCACATCTCCTTATTTTTATTTTGTTTGTATCCATATTATTTTAAGATAAAACATGATGTTGTTAATTCTTTTTTGCTTGTTTTGCTTATTTTCATTTTAATTTTTCGTTAAATCATTTTGACTTTTCTTTTTCGTCTTGTTTAATGTTTGTTTTGTTTTTGTTTTTTGGGGTTTTTTTTGGAAAAGGGGGGGGGATAGTTTATTTTTTTCAACATTTTTTACAAAACCTGGACCATTCTAATTTTTAAAATAGAAATTTTTTACGTCACTTGTATTGCATATTTTGTTTGAATTCAATTATAATAATATATTTTTTCTTTAAAGGAAAGTATTAATTGGTTGAGTAAATAGATTATTTATACTTAACTCTTACTATTGCATTACAATTTTTATTAAGTTATGTGAAATCAAGTGCACAGAATATCCTGCACAGTACCTCAAACTATTTTTTATAAACAAAGGGAATTAACCCTTATCAGGTATCCATAATGACAATATTTCATGAAGTTAGTTTTCGAGCGAATCTTTGTCGTATTTGTGCAAGTAAATATGTATTCGAATTTATAATCTGATTAATTGACAACAATGGATCGAGAATAACACAACCATTATGTTCGTCAGTGTAATTTTTTTAGCAGAAATTGAAAGTTTAACTGACTGCATGATGATGTCACGTGTGAACAGTGAATAAATCTAACGTTACGGCGTTTTTTTGGTTCTTTTAATGCTGGACCTTGCCGCCTTTGACGCACTGGCGCCTCGTACATTCGTAACACATTTACATAAACTGGACATTGTTGTAAAGATAATATGTTGTAGATTGCGGGGAGCGATGGATCCTTGAAAAATATGAGAACATATGGGTATCTTTTCGGGGGAAAACTCAAAATTTTGTTGATTTTCTTCAAAATTATACACCTTATTGATGAAATTGGATTAGGATACCTACAAAATTTTACTGTTCTTAATTCAGGATGATGCATGCAAAATTTTGATGTCTTTTTACGTTTCTATAAATAGCGCTAGGTCCCGATAGGATATTAAATTGTTGCATATGATAGCGAAAAATAAACGTTGTGGGTAATATTACCGATTTTCACATTGTTATGAAATATAGATACAAAAAGGTAAAGTCTATAACTTTTAGCCTAGTTTGAAAAGCTAAAATTCAAGTTTCCTGTGATATTTTATTTTTAACTGACATCGAATGAAAAAGTTTTTTTTTGTAATTTTTACCAACGTCGATAACACCAATTATGCATTACGGCACAAGTTTATTGACGTGACGTTCCCACAGAGTCCCTACCTATGGCTCCTGACAAAAATGCGGCGGGTTAAAAAATGAGATCTCAACCCTCCCCTATACCTCTAGCCAATGTAGAATAAACAAACACACAGCAATACGCACAGTTAAACTCAGTTTAAAAGAAGCCTGAGTCTGATGTCAGAATAGGTAACCAAAGAAACTAAACAAAATGACAATGATACATAAATTAACAAAACTGATGACAATCTAACACACACATTGATATACAATTTGTTTTCTGTTTTTTCAAATATAAAAGATGATGGCTGGTTGAAACCCTGTATTCTGGATGAAAAGTATAATGAAACTACAATTATTTCTATCATTTTACAAAATTGCTGTGTGGTAAATTATGAAATAGAAATAAACATTTCATGCATCTCAATCATTGGTAATACCACATGATTTATTTTTTATTTCAGTTCAGATGATCCTACTCGGTACACTGATTACTACACAGATCTGAAAACATTTATAGAGTCATGTCTTGATGTACATAAGGTATATACACATACACAAAATTCACTCTAAGATGGTATTTATTAACATAACATTTTTCAGTGATTGTAAATCTATTAAAAATATGACTGCTTTCATTGCATAACCATGATAACAGAAATAAAAATGTAAACTGAATTTTATCTATGACATTATTTAAAAAAATTAACCAATAATTGATAAAAAAATCATTACATTTGTTCTGATATAAAAGTAGTCGCACAGATTAGAGTTAGGCATGCTGGGTCCAGCTTTGGCTTTTTAAACTATTAAATGTTAAAGTTTGGAATTATATCACTTCAAGGGAAAACATCGATGGTAAGCTAAGGATATTTGGTAGGCAGTTGTATATTCAAAGGCACATCACAATTTTATGGAGATTAGTTGGCATCACCTCCTCAGTCATGCTCCATTGACTTTGAAACTATATAGTATAATGTACATGTTAAAGTGTTGTTTTTAGTTTCAACATGTACATGTATATTATCAGTGATATTGTTGTCTTTTTTCAAAACTACCTCTACCGTTTTTTTTGGGGAAAAATGCATAATTTTTATTGAAATTGGGAAGTTGGTTTATTTTTTTTTAAACAATATCTGATTTTTTGCTAAACTTTACTGTCTTTTCTGCACAGTTTTATCACGTATATTTTGATTGTCAGACATTTAAACCTGAAAGGTACTTTTTGGGGAGGGGAAAGAGACAGAAACAATGATGGTACTTAATGCATTGAAAACCACATGTGTTACAAACACCATGATGATTCTGATCAGAAACATGGATCTCAAAAGCGCTTTCATAATATCAAATAAGGGGACGACCATTTGATATTCTGGGGGGGGCCAGGAGGATTTGTTTTTGATCGGTTATTTATTTTTGTAAACTAAGAGGACAGATTATCTATTTTCTGCACTGTTGAAGCAAGATTTTTCATTTTCATTAAAGCAAGGGACTGGTTATTTATTTTCACAACTATATTTATAATATTTGAAAACATACAATTTTTAAATTCATTTTTTATTATAAATAATACATGAATAGTCCAATCATTATGTACCATTTAATCAGAATTAATCATCATCATCTGTAGAAATGAATCTTCTGAATTCCCAACTGCATATACATGTATTGCATACATACAAGATATTAAAGTTTGGCTGTAATTAGTGTGTTTTAAAAGTATTGCAAATCATTTATGCCGAGCGGAGCGAGGCTAAAAAAAATTTGAAGGGTTTTGGAGCCGCTGAAGGCCACAAGTTGCTATAGAACTAATGATGCAAAATCTGTTTCCCATACCCTTTCTTAATCTGAAAATGAAAGTTCTGTTTTAATCATTTTTTTACAATATTTTGGACTCAAAGCAACATGTATAGATTCAGTGTAAGACTTAAGTTTTAAGGAACAACATCAAAAGACAAAGATAAAGCAAATATTTAATTCACATAGTTAAGTATGTGGCTGCTGTTTTTTTTTAAACTCTTGATCAAGTTAATAACAAAATTACTAAATTACAAAAGGAATGCAACACTAACAGAATACAGAAGGGCAATCAGTGAACAAAAGACAAATAAATAAGAAACATTGATCCCCAAAAAACAGGAGCTACGTCTGAGGGAGAACAGAACTTGCTTCTTGCAAGACACTTGCCGTGAAAACAATTTGATATGAAGACAAGCTTTTGGTTTTGAAATTTCCTACATGAGGCATTTGCCTGAATGTAGTTACTGCCATATGTAATAAAAGTGAGTTAAGTGTTCCTGAGACAATATACCTCAAGTTAAATGAAACCCATTTTTCAGACATTTCAAGTATTTTAAATAATATTTATACTTTTATTATTCAAAGATTTGGGAAGTGATTCCCGATTTTTTTTTGAAAAAAAATTTTGAATTTTATGAAGAATCTGGTGCAATCTCATGCTCTCAAATAGACCTGCCGAGTTATTTATTTTTAATACATTGCAAGGCAGGTTATTTATTTTCAAACTACCACAGTACAAACCATTTATTTTTGTGATTATCAAGGCTGAGTTATTTATTTTCAAAATCCTCCTGGCCCCCCCCAGAATATCAAATGGTCGTCCCCTAATGAACATGAATCTGAAATTTACGTTCATTAATACCAATACCATCACTTTAGGGAAAAATGTAATACTTATTGGGAGGAATTTTAAGCCATTTTTTTTTAGTAATTGGGAATTTTCTCTAGGGGAAAAAGTCGAATTTTGGATGTAATTTGAGGCAAACGATATCACTGATTATACTATTAAATTACATACAGGCAAGGCAAATCTCTATATATATGTGTCTGTCAACAGTTCATTAACGCTTTAATTCATGTGCAAAATTATAATTGTGCATACCAATAAAGTACACATGATTTATACCAGTTAAAACATAGGTTTTAGAAAGGATGAGTTACTGAACAATTTTTTCAGTTTGAACATTTCATGAATCCAAGAAAATTTTTCAAAGAATTTACAGCATTTTTAAAATTTTCATGGTTTAACAAAATATAAATTAACTTTTGTAAATTTGGCAGAAAAATAAAGGGAAGGTAATTTCTGATATCTAGAAAAGGGGTAAGAAATATATTTCACTTGTAAAAGTAAGGCCTGTGACTGACAGTGAAATATTGGTATTTCAGGTTGAACTGTATTTGATATTGTATCCTGTGTTTGTCCATATGTACTTAGAACTTGTATACAACCAACATGAAAGACATGGTAAGTTTACAATGCTAATACACATATAACTAGAACTTGTATACAACCAACATGAAAGACATGGTAAGTTTACAATGCTAATACACATATAACTAGAATTGTATACAACCAACATGAAAGACATGGTGAGTTAACAATGCTAATACACATATAACTAGAACTTGTATATAACCAACATGAAAGACATGGTGAGTTAACAATGCTAATACACATATAATTAGAACTTGTATACAACCAACATGAAAGACATGGCAAGTTTACAATGCTAATACACATATAACTAGAACTTGTTAAAACTGATATGAAGGGCATTCATGTAATAATAGCACACATTAAATGTGTGGATATGAACTTTGACCTTGCAGAAATTCTTCATGCAGGTTAATGAGTGTGTCCAGTAATGTCATTTACTCTGATAAGGTATTTATGTTTTATGTTGTTGTTTTGGTAACTATGGTAACAATGGGAAAACATACATTTGAAAATTTCTTCTTTACAGTGTCACAGTAAACATACATTTTCACAACAATCATTCATTGACTTATTGTTTACTATATATTTATAGCAGAGGTATTACTGAGTTAAAATATAGCTCCTTAATTGAACATGTTCAGCTTAGTATGTTAGGCTATTATCTTGTGTTTCAGATTTGTGTACTTTATCAAAACGTACAAAAACTGAGATAGGTGAAAATTGTTAGAAATGTGTTTCCATACATCCAACATCAATGAAAGCTATTTTTTTAATACATTAGTCTGAAAATGTTTTATCTAATGTATTTGTATTCTATATTTTTAGCTATGGAATTCTTCCACAAGTTTTCAGGAGAACAAGAATATTATTACCAAGATGACTTAAAACAATTATCATCTGTCACCAAAAGAGAACACATGAGAGGCAATCAACTCATGGATAATTTTAAGTAAGTTACAGTTGTTCATTTTAAGTCCACTGTTTTTGAGAGGGAATTAATTCTTGGACATTACTATGTAATGTAATACAAAGATGAAGTTCTCTTAATTTTGTCATTATTTTTCAAACAGTGTTCCTCTGAGGATCTTATAGCACCATGGCACTATAGTGCTTCATTTTCTATCATAAATAGATTTTATAATAGAATGTATAATTATAAATGTGATGCTCTAATTTTTAGAAAACAGTGCTATTTCAAATCTCATGGTGCTATTTTAAAAGACTTATGAGAGAACACTTAGTCAAAGATGATACATGTATTAACTGAATTCACATTTTATAATCCAAGAGCCGTTTGTTGCTTTTATAATACTATACAATATGGGATTTCCTCATAGCTGAAGGACATACAGTGACATGTAATTGTTCATATTTGTCCTTTGGTCTTAAAGAATATTTGTTTCATTGGTATACACTCCACATCACTTATTAGATAGTATTATGTGCAAACAAAAATAACGGACATTTTTAGTGTGTTTCAGGTAATTTTAACATTACTTCAAAGTTGTTTAACTGCGGGATTGAGGTAGTTTGCACTGGCAAGTTCATGCTCACTTATGTAGTAACATTTTGTTTTTTAATAAATAAATACAAAATTTAATGCTCAATATTTCCCCGTGGAAAAAAATCCTATCTACCTACCTTCTTGGTATTGGCCATATTTCAGTTGACATCATATGATAGATGATCAGCAAGAGCTGTTCTAGATATAAAGCATGGGGGATTGGAGGTTCTCAAATTGATAAATTGTGGGTGGTTTCATTTTCTTTAGAATTTTGTAAAAAATATAAGTGAAATGAAAATTTTGTTTATGTGTGGTTGGGGTTTAATAAAAAGTGCCTCACATTCCCCCGATTCATTTATTGTTGTTGTGCTAATTTTGCATCAAATATTCCAAAGACTTCATACGTTAGCATAGAAGAATCTGTTCTAACAATTTCTCTGAACATTTTAGGGCCAGCAGATTTATAATAAAAATGTCACGTGATTCCTATAATCATCTGAAGAGATATCTGCAGGAAAATCAAATGAAACCATTACTGACTATCATTCAGGAACATTTATTTATTGACGGTAAGATTACATCTGCTAGATAAGAACAGGTGATACAAGTTTAAATGTATGTACGATAGTAGAGGAGCACAATACTTTCTGGTGTGAGTGTCTGTCCTTCCGTCCAGGTTTAAGTTTTGGGTAAAAGTACTTTATGATGAAAATGGGATCAAATCAACTTGAAACACTGGATAAACAAGTGTGGCATGGTATAATATAGACACATGTTGTTTTTTTATTGGAACAAATCAACTTGAAACATAGGATAAACAAGTGGGGCATGGTATAATATAGGCACATGTTGTTGTTTTTTTATTTTTTCGGAAAGAGGTTTAGTGAAGAGGAAAAATACTCATTTATTCATTGGGAAATAATTTTGATACTTTCTTAAATATGAGTGTTAAATATTTTGTTATTTAAGATCTATGAAGAAAAAAAAATGTATGTAAAAAATCCCAATGAGTCAGCAACCCAGAGACAAAAGACCATCTCCATATTAAGATACATTCTTCAATAGTTATAAATTACTACTGGAAGTTAGAGAAGTAACAATCAATAAAACAGTTAATATTTAACACTCTTATTAAGTTAAATAAGTTCATAATTATTGTTAAAAAGTGCTATCATATGTGTTTACATGTATAAGCCCTTACATGACATGTCTATTTTTTTATTTACAGTTTTTGATGGAGTTCCCAGAAATAAACAACAGATAACAGCAACTGGTGGTGGATTGCTAGGAGAGGCAGAGAGAGATGGTATGGATAAACAATGAATATTGGAAATTTTCGTGCATGTCTTATTTTTGTGGTCGACATTTTACTGCAAAATGTACCATAAGTGATCATTTCACTGTTCATTAAAAAGAAATACAATGTTCCAGGCCATTTAACAGGAATTATAAGCACATGGGATATTTGAATGCCCCTTCAAAGGCAAAAACCATGAACAATATCAGACACAAAAATAACCTGATGAAAGCATTTGGTCAAGTTAAAGCACTGGGCTATTGATCTGAGGTAAATTTATGCTATCTAGTTATCAATTAAGTCCAGTGCTTAAATTGGATTTTGGATTTTTTTAGCCTGTCTGGTACAAAAAGAGTGTACCTGGGATCTGTATACTTAAGGAAGATTTTCGCTCCAAAAAAGTTATGGGACTTTTAATCTTTGAAAAATTTGTGTCTAAAAATCTAAGAAGATGTGGTATGATTGCCAATGAGAAAACAATAATACAGTGGCCAAATGCCATATAAGTTAACAACTACAGGTCTTGTACAACCTTCAACAATGAGCAAAATTCATATCCCATAGTAAATTTATACATTATATAGATTTTCATTTTTCTGGTTCCAGGTAGTTAACAAAACCTTTTTTTAAACAATTGCTAGGAATTATTACTGGGAACAGACATATGCTTTTGGAGCAGAAGATTTTGACACATGGAAAACATTTGAAGAAACATTTTCAAATGTTTGTTTATTATTAAGAATATTCCTCCACTCCAGATAGTCTGTTTTCATCACAATTCAAAATATTTGGAAATTTAGCCATCTTGAGCGGATAAATATTGTAACTCCCTCTGTACAGAATGAATAATCTTTACTATATAAACATTAAAGTTAAAAAACCTTTACCATGTTTTGATAAGGATACTTTAAATTCCAGCAAATAAAGCCAAAGTATTCTATGGTTTACTGAAGGAGCCTGATATCAATATACCTGTGGATGATGATGATGAGGCACCTGAAGGCGAGGATAAACCTAAGGTAGGAATCAGTACAAATAACTGGATTAATATTCTTAATGGGCCTCAAAGTGAGGTACTAAATTATTATGTGTAAACAAAAAATCTCTGTGCAGTGGTATTGGGCATGTTGCTATTTTTAACAACTTCTACGTCATTTGGTCTCTGGTGGAGAGTGGTCTCATTGGCAATCATACCACATCTTATTTTATATTAAGCTTAACCTTTTGTGCTGATTTGAGGAGCAGAGGACAACAGAATAAATAAGTTCTATTTTTATAAGTATAATATATATAAATATATTATTATGCGTTTATTATGAGAGGAGAAATTGCATTACGACAATCCAAGATGAGGGGTCAGTAGAAGCCTTTGGCTTACTTTAAGGACCCGAAGATAAAGGTATAAAGGTATAAAGGTTTTAAAACTATGGAGTTCTTTAAAAATGTTTGCAATGAACTGAATTTCCAGAGATGGTTTTGTATGAAAATAGGGATTTTTTTCTCCAAATTATGAAGTTCAGCTTGTTTTAATATTATATTTTTTCCTCAAAAAAATGATTTTGAGATTGGTTTCCTGTACCTTGCTTAAAATTAATTATGTACTGATCTTTCATTATCATAGCAGTTTAAAATAAAACGTCACATGTAGTCATTACTTTTATATACTAGAGCTTTTTGTTATTGAATTTTTTTTTGGGAAGATGATATTCTGAAAGGTTGGATAAGAAAGTGCATGTCTATCTGTACATGTGTGAAAAATGGCACTGACCGAGTATGGCATTTTAGTCTCCCAAACAATCATTGGTGGATTACAATTGAAAAAAAAAATCTCTTTTTGAATATTCTTATTTAACATGCAATGTTAAGCCGCATGTACTTTAGCTCTCAAATTAATGACATCAGCTATACATATTTCAATTCTTTATTTGAATTTAAGAAAAAAAAAGCCAAGAAAGATCCACTTTTAATGAGGAAATCCAAAAATGATCCACATGCCCCACAAAGCAATAGGATACCATTACCAGAGCTGTAAGTTATTTTCTATTAAATAAGACATGACAAAAGTTCCTTTCCAAGAATGAATTTTTAAAAAAAAGTTGTGTGTAATCACTTTTCTAAGAAACTGCAATTCAGACCTTCCTGAAATTTGCTATCCAGTTTTTGTTATCATGCTTTACTGTGTGATGGGTTTTCACATTGACACTCATCACCTGTTTTCTGGATATAGAAAGCTACGGAAAACTATTTCAGTCATGTTGATTGTTTTTTATAATAAATTACAAAACAACAAGTTAATCAAGTCAGAAATAATTATAGATAATTGTATCAGTCAGTTCAATACACCTTATTGCTATTTAGTCCAATCCAGAAAAAAACAGTCATTTAGACAACTTCCTGTTTGGGTCAACAGTTAAGCAAAACAAAGGTCATCAGTAACGAGCTGAGGGAGGAAAAAATTTAGAAAGCGATCAATAGGAAACTTTGATAGATTATGATCCACTTTTTCGAAACTCAAATTATAGTCAAAAAAATATTTTGTTTGAAGTATTTACGATGATTTAAACAGGTCTCATTAAAAAGTATCATGCATGATACATTGTTTAAACAGGGTCCCAGATAGCTTCAACTGGATGAAAAAGTAATTTTAGAACTTAACTGGAATGGAATAAATAGCGATTAGGTGTATACACATATAAAACATTTTTAATACAAAAATCATGAAAACAATGCTAAACTTCAGTATATGTACGTATGATCTATAAATTGAAGAACATAATATAGAAATAAAATTTATTCTGCATTAACCCTATATGAAAAAAAAACAAACTTTTGTACAACAAGTATAGAGTATATTTAACAAAGTACACAATTATTCATTTATAGGATTTGCAAGGAAAAAATACCTGTTATTTTTCATATTCTAGAATATAGTGTTGTAATAAAGCTAGAGTTATCTTTCTTTATTTACAGGAAAGACCAAGATAAGTTGGAGAAAATAAATTCTTTTCGTGAAGCTATTAAGCGAGTGAGAATAGGAGCAGATCAGATGCCTACAGTTTGTTTTTATTCCATTACAAATGCTCACCAAGGGTATGTTATAGCTTATTTTAATATATCTCATCTATAAATGCTGAAGGATTAGTACAATTAAACCTACGGATGAAGTTGTCTGCAGTGCAAATTAAGTTCTTTATGAAATAAATAAATGTAAATGTTTTGCTATATAAATTGAAGTAAATAAAATATTGTTTTTGCGCTGTTCTTCACTGTTTTTCAAAGTTATTTTCTGGCATTAATTAAATGCTTGGAAGATTGTACAATGACCTATAGTTGTAAAAAAGATTTTAAAAAAGCAAGAATAATTCCTCATGTAAATTTGATCTTAAAGGAAGATGAGAGTCCAAAAAAGAAAAATGGTAAAAAAATATTTAGTGAATTTGTAACTGCAAAACTTAGAAAATAACCAATTTAAAGTATATCTAAATGAAAAGGTTACATTTATCAGATTAAATTGCATATATTTTTAGAGTAACCACAGTGAATGTTTGTGAAGATTCCAGCCTGATGTCTGCTGGATTTGCTGATTCTACCATTCGAGTGTTTACTCTGACACCTAGTAAACTTCGAGGAATGAAATCTGGGGATGACTTGGAAATTATTGACAAAGATTCAGGTATTCAATTAGGGCTGTTCATTTAAAACATAAATTGTACTCAGGGCTATTCCATTAAAATGTATGTGGGAGGGTAGGAAGAGACTTTCAAAATATCCCTACAACCAAGAACCATTTTTTAGATAATTTTGCATACTTAAAAAAGACCCATGACCCACATTCAATAATTAAACTTCCCTTCCTACCCTCCCACATACATTTTAATGGAATAGCCCTCAGGGATGGCCCTTTGAAAATTGTAATAATATTCAATGTCATTGTCATATATAGTATATTTACAAAATATAAGATTGTGATAAAATTTTAACTTATAGTATTAAAAATGAGACGTGTAGAATATAAAGAACTCCTGTAAAGATTCTAATACTTAAATAATCTAGTTATAGGCTGTTTTCTGACATAAAGTGCGAAGTTTATGCAAAGTGATCATTTGAATCCACCTCATGCTTGACCATGATTGCTTGCCAGGGTTTGGCTATTCTTATGGTCTTATTTCGTCAACATTGGTATTAAGTTTTGGAATTGCAAATATTTTGCCTCAAAATTCAAAAAAGCAACATTGTTGAAATACAAATTTGGTGAAGAAAAATACATGCTATTTTATTAACAAATCCATGTTTTAAATTTTGTACTTTAATACATCAAGTACTTTTTAGTGATAATGTGATCAGCTAAAGCTAAAATTTAACTATTGCCAGTTCACAGGTGTTGACTCTAAATGTCTGATAAGGTTTAAAAGGAATGCAAACATTCTGTCCTTGTTGAAGGTGATGTTTCAAAATCTAAACAACTTTGGGTAATTCCATTGCTCGTACACCAAAATGTAAATAGCTTCAAGTCATATTGGTTGAATTTCAATTGTTTGAGACTCGCATCGTTTTGGTGTATGCTTTGAAATTATTATCTTGACTACATTACAATCTGAAACCACAAATTGATAAAGGATGAAAATGTAAAAAAATATCTTTTCTTTTTAGATGATGTGCTAGAAAGAATGATGGATGATAGATCAAGTTCAGAGGTGAAGTCATTAGTAGGTCACAGTGGCCCAGTTTATGCTACAGATATTAGTCATGACAAAAAATTTCTTATTTCATCTTCAGAGGATGGAAGTGGTAAGTTTACAGAATTTGGTAAATATTGATAAAAAAATTTTTTTTTTATAATTTTGTTCTGCAAAAAGTGCTATAGAAGTCTTTGTTAGCAATTTTTCTAACCTTTACTGCAGACATTTATATACTGTTCGTGGATATATCCATTTTATATACTGTTTGTGGATATATCCATTTTATATACTGTTTGTGGATATATTCATTTTATACTGTTTGTGGATATATCCATTTTATATACTGTTTGTGGATATACTGTTTGCGGATATATCCATTTTATATACAGTTTGTGGATATATCCATTTTATATACTGTTTGTGGATATATCCATTTTATACTGTTTGTGGATATATCCATTTTATATACAGTTTGTGGATATACTGTTTGTGGATATATCCATTTTATATACTGTTTGTGGATATACTGTTTGTGGTTATATCCATTTTATATACAGTTTGTGGATATATCCATTTTATATACTGTTTGTGGATATATCCATTTTATATACAGTTTGTGGATATATCCATTTTATATACTGTTTGTGGATATATCCATTTTATACTGTTTGTGGATATATCCATTTTATATACTGTTTTGTTTTTTTTTATAATGAATTTTCTTTATTGTAACAAATATACTAGCACAACATGTATGAACAAAGGTATACAGAATGACATTTTCACACAAAGGAAGTATTAAATAATTAAACAACAATTGAATATATGATGGTGCAACAATAGGTTGAAAATAAATAATTTTCTTATAACATTGGAATATTATTTGTTCTTGCAATATCTATTAGTGGTGTTTCAATCAAAATTCGACATTTATTATTTATTCTATAATAGGGGTCCAGGGACTCCAGTATTTGTTATATTCATCTACAGAGAGGTTTTTAAATGAAATGTATTTTTCTAAGTTCAAGTGTTCCTTTAAATAGTTTTTTAAAGCATTTAAATTTGGCAAAACTTCTTGTAATTTTGTTCGGTAAATATAGTATTTTGAAAGCAAAATAATCTTATTTTTAACAAAATTCAATTTAACATTTTCGTAGATACCAAATAGAATAATCATTATATTCAAAGGCAGTTCAATATTTATCATTTCAAAAATCCAGATGTTTAGTGCATGCCAGAGACTGGCGACCATCGGACAGCTCCAAAATACATGTTCTATGGTCTCTTGTCCTTCTTTGCAAAATGTACATATGTTGCTACTATTTATTTTCATCTTGTAAAGTAGTGAATTAGTTCCTAAAATTCTATGTATAATTCTATATTGGAACCAGCAAAGCTTAGTGCTTCTAGTATATTTTGTACACGAAGTGTGTATTTTTTTCCAGTTAATACCAGTCATATTAAGATGGTTCTCCCATTTTTCCTTTGCAGCAAAAGTAATATATTTCTCATTCAATATTTTGTACATGTCCTTTGAACCTTTTTTTGATTCAAAGAAGATACTTATGTTAAAAGGTAGTATTGCTTGAATTTTTTTCTCCTTTACTTCAATATTGATCGTGTTTAACCACTCATTAAGCGAGTGTGCTATTCCATAATAATGTAAAATATTTGGCCTAAATTGATATAATTGTTGGAAATTTTGAAATGACATAACTTTGCCCTGATAATCTAGCAAATCATGCACTGTCCAAATTCCAGCGTTTGCCCAGTTTTTATAGTAGACTCTTGAACCACCAATTTTAATGTTTTCTACCTCCCATAAAGAATAAGATAGAATTTCATCAATACATCTTGGTTTTCTAATTTGATTAAGGGTTTTCCAAGCATCAAAAACCTCTTGCCAAAATTTATTTGATGACCTTTTAATAGGCCCAATATAACTTAGTTCACTAAAATTTATTTGCTCCATAATAGAGACTAATCTCACCCACTTTGAATTCGAATTATACAGCCGTCTTACCCATGTTAGTTTCAGTCCCTGTATAAATGCTTTTAAATTTAGCATTTTTAAACCACCCATATAATAATCTTGACATAAAAGATCTCGCTTGACCTTATCAGGTTTATTATCCCAGATAAAAGCATACATTTTATTTGTTAAATTACATAACATATTCTCATCTGGACTAGGGATAGATAGAAACAGATGATTTAATTTAGATATGACCAAAGTTTTTAAAATGGTAATCTTTCCAAAGGGGGTGAGATACTGTTTTGACCATTTTTTCAAAGTGTTGTCTATATTATCTAAAACTGGCCTATAATTTAAATTAATCATTCTATCTAGGTCAACTGAAAAAGTAATTCCAAGGAGCTTAAATGTACTGGAGCCCCATTTCAATCCCCACTTTACACAAATTTGATCTTGGCTATGTTTTTTGCTACCTATCCAAATAACACTTGTTTTTTCTATATTAATCTTAAGTCCCGAGATTTCAGCATACAATTGGAGAACACAAAGAGATGCATCGAGCGATTCTGGCGAGCCATCTAATATCAATGATGTATCATCTGCATATTGAGAAAGTACAAATTCTGTATCATCTATAGTAATACCCTTTATCTCCTTACTATTTCTTACCAAAATGCCTAATATTTCTGCACATAGCAAGAAAATATAAGGGGATAAAGGATCTCCCTGTCTACAGCCTCTCTCTACAGTGAAGAATTCTGACAGAAAACAGTTTTGTGTCACTGCAGCTGTTATATTGTTATAGAAGGTTTTAACCCAGGATATAACTGATTCACCAAAATTAAAATATCTTAATGTATCATAAAGAAAGGACCAAGAAATGGAATCGAATGCCTTCTCAAAATCAATCAGCAAGAGAATTCCTGGGATATTATTTTCTTCAGTAAAATGTAGAATATCATATATTAATCGACAATTTTCGTCTATATATCTACCTGGAACAAAACCAGTTTGATCAGAACTTATTAATTTTGACAAAACAGATTTTATTCTCTCTGCTATACAGCTTGATGCTAATTTATATGTAGAATTTAGAAGAGTAATAGGTCTCCAATTTTTAAGAAATTGTTTTGGTTTACCATCTTTTGGAATACATGTAATCACTCCCTGCCTCTGGGTGACAGACATTTGGCCCTTCCCATATCCAAAATTTATAGATCTAAGGACAAATTTACCAATATCAATCCAAAAAAATTTTTTAAAATTCTGCCGTGTAACCATCAGATCCCGGACTCTTGTTATTTTTCATTCTCTTTAATGCTGCAGTTAATTCAGAAAAACTAATCTTTCCCTCCAATAACTGCATTTCATCCTCACTAAGCTTCGGTATATCATTATAACAATTGTCCCGTGTTAAGTCAACCCTTTTCAAACAATCTTGTTTTTTATAAAGTTTCTCATAAAACACCCTTGTCTGATTTAAGATTTCTTTTTGTTCTTCCACTATAACACCATTTTCTAAAGTAAGTTTTTGAATAGTCTTATTAATATAATTCCTAGTCTCTAGGTTTTTCTCCTTCTTCAATCCACTGACTTCTTGACCTAACATACTGTCCCTGAACCTTCTTTTGTCTATACATTTTAAGTTCTGCTTTTTTCTGATCAATCTCTTCAAGATTTTCTTCTGTTAGTGCATTTTCTTCTAATTGTTTTAATTTTAAAATAATCTCATTTTCAATTTTTATACCCTCCTTTTTTTTATAAGAGGCGTATGAAATAGTTTTACCGCGTATTTCTGTGATTAAAGTTTCGAAAAATAACTGGTCATCAACAGTCATGACAGTAAATTCAATTTCATAGTTGTCAATATTTTGTAAATTTTCATCTCTATATATCTTGATGGCATATTGTTCTTTTACTGTACTTATGAGTTTTTTTATCTCTTTAACATAGTCAGTATCATGAAGAAGGGAATTATTAAACTTCCAAAGGCCTCTGCCTTTTATAAATTCATTAATCTTGAAAGAAAAGATCACTGGTGAATGATCAGACCTATAACTATTATCAATTTTAACATCACTAACAAAGTGAAAAATATTATCAGAAATCAGAAAAAAGTCTAAACGAGATTGTTTAAAGGGTTTTTTTTTCCTCCAAGTAAATCTTTTCACATTGGGGTATAATTCTCTAAATGGATCAACTAGATTAAAGTCTTCCATTAGCTGTAATACTTTTTCTCTAGACTTTGGGTTGTTGATATTAACATAATTATGAGTGTCAAGATTAAAACTTTGAATTAGGTTAAAATCACCACAAAGAATACAAGATTGGTTATCAAATTCTTCAATGATGTCTGCCACCTTTTGATAAAAGCAAGGAGTGTCTACATTTGGCCCATAAATATTAACTAAGGTAATTCTTTGTTCTTCAATTGTAATATCCAATCCGAGAAGGTTTCCACCCTCATCTTTTTTAACTTTGTGAATTTGAAGATCAAAGTTTTCATTAAAAAAGATGGCCACGCCTCTCTGATTGGATGTAAATGAATTGAAAAGGCATTCTCCCTTCCACTGATTTTTAATGTTTAATTCGTCTTGTTCTGTAAAATGTGTGTCCTGAAGACAGTAGATATTAAAATTCTTTGACTTTAAATAATTCAAAACATCTCTCCGTTTCTCCTTTGTATAAAGACCTTGACAATTATAAGAAAATATTTTAAGAATATCACCCTTCATGCATGTGTTTAGCTTTATCAATATTTATAACTCTAATGATGAGTGAGTATACATGAATATACCATGATATTTGTGAAATCAAGGGACTATTAGAATTCTTTTCCTTTAAAACTGTATAATTTTTCAAGATCTGTGCCACCTTAAGACATATTTGTAATTTACAATAAATGCATATATATGTAAACATAAAATACAATAGCAAGACAAAGTCCAACATTAAAATCAAATATTAAATCTGCACTCTGAGACATTCACTGTTGTTGTGTAGGATATTCACTCCAAATGGTCTAAGGGAGATAACTCAGAAGAAATTTTAATAAATACATTGGATTCAGATGGAAATTTAATTTGAGCAAACCCAACAGTGAATATCTGTATAGTTCATGTTATGTACATATTTTGAAAGATTATTTCATTCCTATAATTTCATAATACATTTAATTTCCTTACTGACATTCTTTCCAACACACAAAGACATTTTTTCCATTCTATGTGGTTATGGCAAAAAAGAAAAGATCACACAAGAAGCACAAGTATACAAATGTCCATTGTTTTGCCTTCAAATCTGATCCAGTCAGATTTGTCAATATTTTTATAATAAGATGTTGTCTGTCTAACACGTTCATTCTTTTTGAAAAACAATTTAAGTTAAATGAACTATATATAATATAAATAAGCCTTTTATGTACAATATTTCAAGACTGTCAGAGTTGTTCAATTTACTACATGTAGATATTGGAATTTGTATGTTTGTCCTTTGTATATATGTATTAAAAACTCCCATGTCAAATTTACAAATTTATATGATCCTTTGTCTATTTAAGAAGGCAGAGATGTTTTATACTCATTATATCTCTGATACGATCAAAGATCAATATTCTTTATGAGATGTAGCTGTAAATATATAAGATTTATCTAAACGTTAATATTTCTCCTTTAAAAGAACAATGCGTACTTGAGAGACATACAATTTCAAAAAATTAAGAACACTGACCGACTTCAAATGAAGTATCACTCTTGATAAAAAGCAATACTTTTGCATCACAATGTAAATCAAATTAATGCATGATCAATATATCATAAAAACTAACAAAACTATCTACCAATCGAACACAGACTACACATCATGAGTGTGTGTATGCATATCATATTAATGAGTTAGTTTCAGCAGAGATTGTGCAAAACTTATTATAGTATGGTCACTTCATTTTAATGTACATGTACCATAAACACAACAAGAAAAGATAATTTCAAACAAGCATCTCATTCTGAAATTTGGAATAAACATCACTTTAAAAGTGGTCTATACTTTACATATTCTAACTTCAACTCATTTGTGTCAGTCTGTATCTGATGAGTTAAAGTAAAACATATAGCAATAGCATTAAGCACAGCAGTTCAGAATAATACTAAATAACTAGCAAGAGCAAAATTATAAATAAGTATATAAGCAGCAGAAAATAAACATATAAATAAATTATAAAGGCAAAAATTTCAACACAGCAGATTGGAAACTAAATATATATATATAAAGCAGAATTAGCATTTACATTTATATGTATATGCCAATATATCGCAGACAATCAGGCAAAAAAGCATAGAGAGCAAGCAAAATTAAAGCAATAAAAAGCAAAAAAGAAACCTACAAAAATAAAACAAAAAAACAAAAATAAAATATTTGCATAAATAGAAAATAAACCTGGAATAAAATTCCCCGTTCTATACTTACAATTTGGTATCAACTTAATGGTATCTGTGAAAATATGATAAAGAAAAAGGTTATACATGTACATGTATTTAAACAATAGAGAAAAAAGAAAATTGATCAATTCTGTTTAGTATACATTTAGCTAACTTACTTTAATTTTTTTTTTATTAGGGTAAGTCTATAGTTGGTTATTAAAGAATTATCTTATATGTATAAAATAGATATCTACATCTGCATATAAAGTTCTGTAGTTTCTTACAAATAGGTCACAACAACCTATATATATAAATATGGCTAATTGTTGTATAAGTACAATTTTGTATATATATATACATGTATATTGTTATGTATATGTATCGCTCATCATTCTCTTGCGCTCCATGGGTCCCCTCTATTTTTACGGATTTCAAGTGTCATATGTGCCCCAACATCTCGAATACGTGTTTGCAATTTTTCTTTTTTGCGTATTTTGTAGGCTACGTGAGACAGAAGGAATCTTTCCTCTTTCATGGATACCGGTAGATCATCTAGAATCCGAATTTGACTACCTTTCAGATTGTGAGCACTGGACATAATGAGTTGTTTGTCTCCATAGTGTATAAATCGAACGATAATTGGTTTGGGTCCACTACCCCTTGTTGGTACACGATGAGCATTAGCAATCGGAATGGCATTTGCTTTTCTCTGTTCAATTTTTAGATTTTGACTAAACAACTGACGAGTAACTGAATAGATGTTCTCATCTGCATTACTGTCATCAACCCCATAAATCATAATATTATGTTTCCTTTCGTGCTTTTCAAGCAATGTTACCTGATCTTTCATTTCATTCATCTGAGTTTGAAGCTCATATTTTTGTTTTTGTAATTTTTCACCTTCAATTGCTTGTATTTGCAAATCCATACCTGCAACACCCTGTTCCAACTCTGTGAAGTCTTGTCTTAAACTAGTTATTTCTAATTGAGATTCATCATATTTTGTTTTCAATATATTGACGTCAGTTTTCACTTCATTGATCATACCTGTTAAGTTATGTTCAACTTTTTCAAGTTGCTGTGAAAAGTCACTTACTTTTTTATCAACTCCCATTATGAGGCTTTTGAGCTCTTTAAATTCTGCTGATGCCATACTTACATGTAATTTTGTATATTCTTTTAAAAATATTTGTAAATTCTAGGAAAAGTTGCTATATTAGTCTGCTTACTTTTATATTTTGTGAAACAAAATAGTTGCACACACTTGAAACTACATGTACATGTAAACAGTTGCTGCTACATGTATTTGAAGCTATATATTGTTCATCTATGTATGACACAGGAGTTTAGTCGTAGATATGGCTAGTTATGTATACTATATATAATTCATATCAAGTCGTCACGAAAGTCAAGCGTGAAAAACAAAAACACTTTCAATAGTCATGATTGTGTACATGTAACATTGACATCGTAGCGATTGGGAATATCATTGAAAATCGTAAATTATGTCGTTTTTTGTACTATATTGTTTTAACACGCACTGCCTTAACTGCACACAATGTAATCTAACACATACATAGTGCCTCTACCCCTCTCAACAGTATAAATGCCTCAAAAACTAACTCTTATAAAAATATCATGGGCGCATCCATTACAGGGGCGACAACAATTTTATATACTGTTTGTGGATATACTGTTTGTGGATATATCCATTTTATATACTGTTTGTGGATATATCCATTTTATACTGTTTGTGGATATATCCATTTTATATACAGTTTGTGGATATACTGTTTGTGGATATATCCATTTTATATACTGTTTGTGGATATACTGTTTGTGGATATATCCATTTTATATACAGTTTGTGGATATATCCATTTTATATACTGTTTGTGGATATATCCATTTTATACTGTTTGTGGATATATCCATTTTATACTGTTTGTGGATATACTGTTTGTGGATATATCCATTTTATATACTGTTTGTGGATATATCCATTTTATATACAGTTTGTGGATATATCCATTTTATATACTGTTTGTGGATATATCCATTTTATACTGTTTGTGGATATATCCATTTTATATACTGTTTGTGGATATACTGTTTGTGGATATATCCATTTTATATACAGTTTGTGGATATATCCATTTTATATACTGTTTGTGGATATATCCATTTTATATACTGTTTGTGGATATATCCATTTTATACTGTTTGTGGATATACTGTTTGTGGATATATCCATTTTATATACAGTTTCTTCTGGGCATTGCAGGAGATCATTTCTTCCTGTGCTGTTTATGATGTTACTGTATGAAACTCTCTGGATAACAGCAACTGATATATCAGAATGTAGAATATCAAATAATCTTTTCAGCATGTTAAGTACTTTGATCTTTCTTTCAATATATGCAAGTATTCTTTGATATGTAAAATAGTTAGATATGTAATGTTTTTGTTAATCTATTATACATTTATTTTATAGTTAAGTACTTTTCTGTAATGATTTTTATTGTATGTTCTTCTGTGTATACTTTGTGTGTCCATATCAGTCTAGAAAAAAAAATGTGTTTTTCCACTTAAATGCTGAAAAAAATTAGGGAAGGCAGGTTGGCACTTAATTTTATTTTCCAAAAAGTTTTTGACTGGTTTAAACAGAGGAAACCATCTGAATATTGCCTGTTCAAAAATGATAAAAAAAACCTTTAGTTAAGGTATGGTTAGGGGAAACACAAAAGTTTTTTCTAGGCCTGATTGAGATTACGAAAAGAGGGAAGAGTTGAGATCTTAAAAACCCTTTAGTTTTCCCTATCACATATTTATGTTCCTGTACCAAGCCAGGTACCTTGTCAGTGGTTGTTAAACATACTACATTTGTATTCTTCTATTCATCTTACCTGCCTAAGAACCTCCCATGTGAAGATTGCATAAATCCATATATAAATTGTGGATTCATTAGTTTTCATAGATAACAATCTTTGTGCATTGATAATTATTTTTATTTTTGTATATATAAAAGTCTATAGGAAACTTATACTTTGTTAAAACCCTGAAATTCGTGGTTCATCCTATAGAAAAAATCCACAAAATGTGTGCTGTAGGAATGATAATTAATTAACAGTACTCAATTTATTTCAGTACGATTATGGAGTCTACTTACATGGAGTAATTTAGTGTGCTACAAAGGTCACCAGTACCCAGTCTGGGATGCTAAATTCAGGTAAGATATTTCTGTGAGAGTTCTTTCCCCTTATTTCATTATTAAGATATGTTGCAAAAATTTCCTTTAGCATGAATTTTTCTTAAAGAAGATTAAAATAACATGCAAGGAAAATCTGAAAATAATACCTTGCGCTCAGGTTTTGCACTAGAAATCACTAAATATAAAGACCTGGAAAATAGACCACTTAACATTAGTTACTGAAATGTCAAGTCCCAAAGAAACCTGTGAATTAAAAAGGGAGACATTATATGTCAGTTTGTTACCTTTGTTTTGATTCAGTTAAGAAAACTATCGGTATATTTTGTTGAACATTTAACTTTGTGGTTCAGCTGTACCTATGAAATTCATTCTAAATAGTGGCCAACAGAACATATAATAATTATAAAGTAAGAAGATAATGGTATGATTGCCAATGAGACAACTCTCCACCAGAACCAAATGACGTAGAAGTTAACTATAGGTCACTGTATGTCCTTCAACAATGAGCAAAACCCATACCACATATTAAGCTATAACCCACAATACTTCAAAATCATAAGATTCCTTAACACATGAGACATGACTGTTGAGTGAGCTTTACAGGACATGAGAGCCACTAGTTTTATTCAGTTGTTACATTAGCCTGACGTTACAAAATGAATATTTTAAAACTTGTTTTGTGTTTTCATAAAATTTTTAGTTTCCGTTCTGTAACTTAAGTTTGCCCCAACCAAACATGAAACTTATACACAATACTTATTACCACAAAACTAAGATCAAGTACACATTTGGGTACATCACTTTTATTGTTCTTGAGTTATGTCCCTTTATAATGTTGTATGCAAACGGGGGCATCATCTGTGTCCATAGGGACACATTCTCCATTTATATTTTTGTGGTTTACATTTTGAAGTTTATCCATTTCAATTTCAACATATGCATTATAAGTTATTGAAATCACATATAGATGAAACAACAGTTGATGTAATTATTTTTGGATCTCATTTTGATTTTTTACTGGTTATATTTTCAGCCCTCATGGTCATTATTTTGTATCCTGTGGACATGATAGAACAGCCAGATTGTGGTCAACAGATCATTATCAACCATTGAGGATATATGCTGGTCATCTATCAGATGTTGACGTGAGTATAACATGAGAGCAAAGGTTGAGGTTTATATAAAAGTAAAACATTGTTTCATGAATTTTTTATGTGATTTTATTCTTTAAATTAAATTTTAGGCGTATTTGTATTGGAAAGAGACCTATTTTGGATATTGTTATATTGTGCATTGTTAGGGTTGTTGCAGAATTAGTTGTATGGGGGTTCAGAAGGCACTTCTATTAAAATTTCATGGGCAGTGAAAGATAGACTGAACATTATAGAAAACAATCAATATTTTTTTGCATGGCATGGTAAAATAAAAAAGCCTTTTGATCCTCCCCCTTAATTTATTTCTGGAACAGCCTTAGAGACTAGTTTAATTGACATGTTGTTTAGGCATAGTAGAAGAAAGTTCTAAAACTTCAATTTCTAGAGAGAAATGTAATGAATATTTTTTTGTAAATCTTTGTCTTTCAAAACTTTTTTAAGTTCTAAGATGTTATGATGTACCCATAAAAAACCAAGATATGAAAAAGACCTTCTAGTTGATTTCTTGTTTAGATATAATTCTTAACCATTTGATTTTTTATTTAAATTTTCTTCTTGTAGTGTGTAGAATTTCACCCAAACAGCAACTACATTGTAACAGGTTCCAGTGATCGTGTGGTTAGAATGTGGGACAATCAATCTGGAAACTGTGTCAGAACTTTCACAGGACATAAGGTATAACATATAATGACATCATAACACTGCTGGCCTTGACCTCATTTTCAAGGTTTATTGATAATTGTTTCCTTTTAGTCAGTGTTGCATTTATTATATATATATTGAATGATTGTAAGGTGTACATTCCTTTATCTGACATAGAGGTATCTGAGTTTTACCATATTTTAAAAGTGTGAACATCAGTTAGGCATTGACCCAACAGTACAAGTTTATTAAAATAGACACTTAGATCCTTCAATGCATCAACTGTTTAGCCAACTGCCAAGAAAATATGAAGCTAGTGTTTCTTTGGCCTATGTGACTGATTGGTCAAAGTAGTTCATCTACTGTATCACAAGCTAGTCAACACTGAGGATGTGAGTTTGAACCCCCTGACATTGCCTGTGCTTTAATTCCAACCACAATTCACTAGGATTGCCAGTTTCCTGCCAAAGGTCCTTGGTTCTCTCCAGGCACTTTGGCTTCCTCCACCAATAAAGCAAATAGTGCTGAAAGTTGTGTTAAACACCAAAAAAAATCAATCAATCCATTTTTCCAGACTTTCATCACTGAAGTTTATTTATTGTTTATTGTAGGGGCCAATACACAAGATGTGCTTTTCTCCTGATGGTAGATTTATAGCTACAGGTGGTAAGTGATAGATGTTTACTGTAATAATCTTCTTATAACATAACTATACATGTGATAGATGTTTATAGGGATAACATCCTTATAACATTATCCATAGGATAACTAATCTAGAATTCAAATACTGTAAATTCAGAAATTATTGCAATTTTGTCATTTTAGACTAAAATGCTATTTTAATTTTTGCGATATTGAGAAAAATCCTGTTTAATTCATATAAAAAAATTTCAAAATTCAAGTTTAAATTATTGCAATTATAACCCTGTCACATTTTTCACAATAATAAAAACATCGCAATAATTTCTGAATTTACAGTATAGAAAAATATTTAACAAGTGAATGAACAACACATTAATTCATGAATGTACATGAGTTTATTAACAGTGTTGTTAGTTCACATGTGAAAAATTTATTAAAACTTGAAGTTTAGGATTAGTTTATTCTTTTTATTATATTTACCATGAAATTTTTATGGAAATAAGGCAGAAAATACAAGGACTCTAAATATATATACAGAAAGCACTCTCTATATATATTACCAGTGACCACTGTGGATAGTAAACTAGCAATTTATAGTAAATAGTAAACAGTTGCTGTTACTTTAGTATATTTGCTAGGGATGTCAACTCAATGAACAATTACTAATTGAGTATTCGTTGGTTTTATTGAACGATACTCAAGCACTCGTTAGGGAATATATCTACAACATGGAAACACAAAAATATGTACTTTATATTATATGGTTTGTTGTTCAGCGGACGAAAAACCACCTACATAAGTATCTGGGACAAGGAATTACACACCATAATTAATAGCTCATTACCTACAAGTACTAATTAAATAAAAACAATAACCTAATCAACATAATTTAATGAACACCTATTATAACATTATAACAAGGAAAAACCATATCAAATAATAGTATTTGGTAATCGTTAAGAAAACACATTTAATGTTTACAAAGGCGTATTGATTAGAAGTTTAACTATTCACTGAGGGTCAACAGCGGATGCAACAAATTTTATCTTATTTGGAAACATTATCTTGTCAACTATTATTGGGGACAGTCGGTTTTGCAACTTTGTAAATTACAGTCTTGCAGAAGAAAATATTTGCTCTGACGGTACAGATGTGAAGGAATGGCTAAGACATGTTTAGTTTAAAGTGTTAGCCTAGGTATAGCCCACGTATTTTCGTAGGCATTTTTAATGACAATTTAGCACAAGCATTCGAAAACAAAATGTATTTTACTTACTAGTATGATTAATCAGTGATGCCTATTTAATTTTCCGAAAGAGGATCTCAAGAAGATCAATTTTATATAAAGAAAACAGCAATATTCTAACAGGAAACTGATTAGTTGAGTATCGTTTTGGTATTTGATACTTGATACTACCGAGCGATACTCAAATACTCGAGTACTTGTTAACATCCCTAATATTTATGTGAGTATAACACAGAAAACACAAAATTAATTGAAATTAAAAGAAAACAAAAATATTTTCAAGTACCTATGGTCAAAACCTATTAAAATATTACATTACTTTTCTTTTGACTAAAACATTTTGATATGGGATGTTGTTATATATAATAATTAAAGCACATAACTACAGATCTAGGTTGGAGGAGGTAATTTTTCAGTTTTGGAGGACCAGTAAAAATCGGGAAGGGCAAGTGAATTGAGAAAAGTGTAAGCCTGCTTGGCCATTTAGAAATAAATTTTATTTCTTTCCCAGTTGACATCGAATTTTTTTCTAGTTTATATGTACACATTGTGATTTGGTCACTTAAAAGGGAACCACTGATATTTAGTTAGACTGAAATAATGGGTGTATCCTTTTGGTAGATTTTATCTGACCTGAACCTCCTTTTCATAGATCATTGGTCAAAGTTAAATTTTCCCGATTAGGTCTGTTTCGCAGATACTTTAGACATGAGGTCAAATATATTTGGTGTGTGGAATGATGTAAGTTTTAAATAGCTGTTTGGCATGGTTCTTCTGACTTTGACCTTATTTTCATAGATTATTGGTAATCTTAAGTTTATGTTCTGCCTGTAGTAAAACCTTAATATTTCATTGTAAAATTCAATCAGTTGTTAGTAAAGCAGATTAGGCATTTCAGCATGTGCACTCTTGTTTAAAACGTCTGCACTCATTTATAAGTATCCGTAAACACATGATTATATAATTAACTGACTCCCAATGTAAAAATACAGTTTTAAAGTGTGATATCAGAGTAGTGATGTTATAAACATATTTTAATTAAAATAATTTGCAAAACAAGATTCATTTTAAGAAAAAATTTTATATGTGAGATGGTCGGATAGAAATCGACCTTATGCAAATGAATATCAATACATCTGTAAACCTATTTCGGGTTGAAAAAATCTCAACAGAAAGTCTGTAACTGTTTGAAAATAGAGTTATTATAAGAACCCCTACAAAACAGACCAACATTCATCTTTTTTTATTTTGTATTTAAATGTTCAAAAATCAATCAAAGTCTTATTCATGTACATGTATACATGCACTTGCATAAGGTGGATTTCTATCCAATGCAGCTCATATTATACACCCACTGAAGGAATGGGGACTATATTGCACCCACCTTGTTTGTCTGTTCATCCTTTAATTTGTAAAATGACTTCATATTTGATCAGCAGCTTGGTAATAATGAGTTGTAATGTCAGACATCTTCTTACTGTTTGTCGATACTTTTGAGGAACATAGACCAATCTTGTTTTTTATGAATAAGTTGCACTGGTTGACCGAAGGTCAATCAGCGTAAATAACGTTATTTAACAATTGGTTCTTGCTATGGCTGTAGGAACATGCACAAATTTGAAAGTCGTCTATCCTTACCCAAATAGATATTTGAATAGCATCAACTTCATTGGAAACAGTTAAAGGTAAGGCAAACATACTGTAAGATAATTTTCAAGTTTAGAAAAGATAAAATTATGATATGATAATTTCTATATTTCAGGTGTTGATAAGACAATTTTATTGTGGGATATTGCAAGTGGTAATATGTTAGCACAGTTAAAAGGCCACACACAGGCTGTCTATTCTCTTACATTCAGTCGGGAAGGAAGTGTTTTATCATCAGGAGGTCTAGACAGTTGTGTGAAGATCTGGGATGTCAATAGAGTATTACAGGAATATGATACAGATTCTGATGCCACAATACCAAGTTCATTACAGGTGTAAGTAAATCTCTTTGAATTATTTCACATTTTGTCATGCAGGGAACTTTTATAGCTTGATATATAGAATGGATTTTGCTCATTGTTGAAGGCCATACAGCATCCTTTAGTTGTTTTCATCCTTCATTGTCCTTGTCCTTTCATCTCTGGTGGATAGTTATCTCAAAGGCAATCTTACCACTACTCCTTATTTTATTAGTATCAGGAACCACTATCCATTTATGTGATCAGAGTTATAAAGATTAAAGCATTTTAAATGTTAAAAGTGGATACATTGTAATATGCATGATTTTATTTAGTTATTACAATCAAAATATTTGGGAATTGCGATTTGTGGCGGATATATTTGAAATGAATAATAATCATAGGATTCAATATTTTGTTTTGTTTCTTCATTTATTTGCCATGCAATGCATGGCGATGTCAGTTTATCTCAACTTATTAGTTTTTGAATGTCCCCTTGGTATCACAACAGGAGTTACACATCAATTTATTTCATAATTATATATCACAAATCTGATATGAGGCATGATATGTAAGCTTATTTTCAAATGTAGAAAAAAAAATTTGCACAGTCTGTTATGATATTTTAGTCTGTTTAAAAATTATTTTTTTTTACTTTTTCAACTTGGATTGAAATTATTTAAGTTTTATTTTAGATCAGATTGGCAAAAAAGCAAGAAATAGATTTTTATTTGGTTTTAAATTGAATTATCTGAATCAAACCACTCAGAAATATATTTTGTCAAGTTTCACCTTAGTCTTAACAATCTGAATTAATCCACTCTTAATTATACTGTATCAAGTTTCCTTTTAATTTGAATAATCTGAATTAAACTAATTGTAGACTTAAACCTATATATATTAATTGTTGAAAACGTCTAACCAGTCAGTATATTTATTAACTGTTTTGCCCTATCTATTTACAGGAATGATAATGCTAATTTGTTACTAGGATCCTTCCCAACAAAACAGACATCAGTTTTATGTGTTCACTTTACAAGGAAGAACCTTTTATTAGCAAGTGGACCTGTCGCCATATGATATAAAACTAAAATCTTGTTGACTAAAATTGAGGACAAATATATTTTGTCGTGAGGGAGATGTTGCAGAGATTGTTGACATGTTATTTAAAGTTCATTAATTGTTAAAGTCTTTGCAAAAAGAGAGGATATAAAGATATAGAATTTTTCTCAGTCAAGTGAGAAACATTGTGCAAAGTATAAGCACCTGTTGAAAAACAAAGAATATATTGAAAGAGAGTGTTGCAAAGCCTAAAGGAAGATGACATGGAAAAGCTATGCCTATTTTACTACTACACAGATTATGTATACTGGTCCCAATCATTCCATTTATACCAAATATTGACTACATCACAGCATTCATTGCATCCTATTAAAAATAAGAACTTGGTAATTGTGTGATAGTGTCCCACCTCGAGTGCACAGGTGTGTAAGTACAATCCAATCACTAGTATGGAAAGTATGAAAATTTGTGTTTGCTGCTTCTCTATAAAGGATGTGGCATTTAGGAGTAAGAGACTGGTCAGCTAGTAGTCAGAATAGTATCATTGAATATGTCCAGGATGGCCACGTCTTTATGCAGACTGTTACCTTGTGAACAAAAACATTAAAAACCAGGCTCAGCTTGTCAGTCTTGAACAAAGCAGGATTCATATTAATATTCATATCACATTTAAATGTTCTCATCTGTTTATGCATGTAATATTTGCCATTTGACTACATCCAACCCATTATCATCATCATCTTAAATACAAAACTAGAAATTTAATTTTGATTTCTTATTTATTGTTAAATAGTTAAGAAACTGTTTACATGAATAAAACCATTCATGGTGGAGGCAGCTCAAACAGCACACTGAGTGTTTGCTTGCTAACTTGGTTTTATTGTTTCGCCTTGACAGAGTCAAAAAGCTAGACATAGGTATGTTGTTTCTGGCGGAGGCGGGGTCAACAATGTAATAGTTTGTGATTAGGTCTAGTTTATGGTGACCACTAGTGGTAGGTCAATGATATTTGGTATGCAGTTGTATTGGTATTGGCACATCTCAATTCCATGGAGATTGTTTGGCCCCGCCTCCTCGGTCATGTCTATTGACTTAGAAACTTTTGCTTAGTTAACATGTATTAGTTTGTGATTGGGTCAGTTTATGGGGAACCACTAGTGGTAGGTCAATATTTGGTATGCAGTTGTATAAGCATTGACATATCTCATTTCCATGTAGATTATTTGGCCTGCCCCTCAGTCATGGTCTATTGACTTTGAAACTTTTGCTTAGTTTACATGTATTAGTTTGTGATTAGGTCAGTTAAACATGTTAAGGAGGAACCAATAGTGGTAGTTCAATGACAATTGGTATGCAGTTGTATAATCATTAATACATCTCATTTCATGGAGAATATTTGGTCCTTACCTCTCAGTCATGGTCTATTGACCTTGAAACTATTGCTTAGTTTACATGTATTAGTTTGTGATTTGGTCAGTTTATGGAGAACCACTAGTGGTAGGTCAATGATATTTGGTATGCAAATGTATTGGCATTTGGAAGTCTCATTTTCATGGATATTATATAGCCCCACCCCCCTCATCATGGTTCATTGACTTTGAAACATTTGCATAGTTTACAAGTTAATTTTTATACGCCCGTTTACGGGATGTATTATGGTATACCGTTGTACGTCCGTCTGTCCGTCCGTCTGTCCGTCCATCCGTCGTCAACATGTCGAACATTAACTCAAAAACGCTTTAACCAATTTGCTTAAAACTTTGGTGAATTGTTTATATCTATTGACGTGAGCTCCCTTTCGTTTTTTATAAATTTTAGATTTTAGGTTTCCGAGTTGTGGGGTTTTATTCATTAAAAAAATGGGGATTTTCCAGTTTTCGGACAATAACTCAAGAATGCTTTCACCAACTTGCAAGAAATTTTGGTTAATTGTTTATATCTATTGACATGAGCTCCCTTTGGATTTTTATAAATTTTAGATTTTACGTTTCCGAGTTATGGGGTTTTATTCATAAAAAAAAGGGGGATTTTCCAGTTTTCGGACCATAACTCAAAAATGCTTTCAGCAGTTCTCATGAAACTTTGATGAATTGTTGATATCTATGGATGTAAGCTCCCTTTAGAAATTTATAAATTTTAGATTTTACATTTCCGAATTATGGGGTTTATTCATTAAAAAAGGGGGGATTTTCCAGTTTTCAGACAAAAACTCAAAAATGCTTTCAGCAATTCGTATGAAACTTTGGTGAACTGTTTATATCTATTGATGTAAGCTCCCTTTAGAATTTTATAAATTTTATTTGTTTATAGTCTGACAACAGATTTACTAAGTATTGCGCAACAGCACAGTGTATTGCACAACAGCAAGAAATCTTTAATTGAATATAAATTCAATTCATATAACCAACTTCAAGTTCTTTGACTACATTTATTCAGAAACCTATAATAGATGTATGTCAAATATTTAGTTACAATCCAAATTCAGACCTGTATCAAGCTTGAATATTGTGTCCATTTTTGCCCCAACTGTTCAGGGTTAGACCTCTGCGGGCGTATCCAGCTGCGCTCAGCGAAGCAGTTTATTGTGTTTAGGTTTGAATAAGGGAAAGGGAATGACAAATGATAAGTCAATGGTATTTTGTATGCAGTTGTATTAGCATTGGTACATCTCATTTCCATGGAGATTGTTTAGCCCTGTACCTTCAGTCATGGTTCATTGAATATTTGCATAAATTACATGTTAAAGTATTTCTACTTTAATTTCGACATTTGCATTATCAAAACAACAAAAAGGCGAGACTTACCTCTGTGTTAACAGTTTATGATATATATGTGAGCTTAGATATTTTAACATTATCAGTTGTTTCTACAAGTGGCTCTCATTTGGGCAAACTTGCTTTGGAAATGCATACAATTGCTGAACTTTCGTTTTAGTCAGTGCATAGTTCATTTTACAGTTATTGCAAAGACCAGTAAAATTTAATTGAGCATTTAATGGCCGAATTTACGATTACTGTAATTTTAGAAATGTATGCCTGCATTTATAATTGCGATTGTTGAACTATGGACATAAAGGCAAGATAAATTATTGCAATTTAAGGAAATGTGTATGCAAATAATGCTTGACAAATTAAAAATTCTAATTTTTATACAACCGCAAAAAATTTTGCGGTTGTATATTGGTATCACGTCGTCGTCGTCATCAGCGTCGTATGAAGACAGTTGGTTTCCGGACAATAACTTTAGTTTAATTTAATAGAAATCTATGAAATTTAAACACAAGGTTTATAACCACAAAAGGATGGTTGGGATTGATTTTGGGGGTTATGGTCCTAACAGTTTAGGAATTAGGGCCCAAAAAGGGGTCTAAATTAGCATTTTTCTAGTTTCCAGACAATAACTTGTGGAATGATGTATGGATCTCTCTGAAATTATACCACAAGTTTCCATACCACAAGGGGATGGTTAGGATCTGCTTTGGGGGGTTTATGGCTCAAACAGTTTGGGAATTAGGGGCAAAAAAGGGGGAAAAACAAGGGTTTCCTGGTTAATGGACAATTACTTAAGACAATTTAAAAGCAGTGTAAGGGAGGTAATCCAAAAACAACATTTTGATTACCTCCCTTACACTGCTTTTAAATTATTTATAAAGAAATGTTGTATTGTCTTGAGATGATGGGGGGTCAATACGCAAAGCATAGTGTATTGCACAAAAGCCAAAAAAAAAGGGGGGGTAAATTTATTTTTTTTTGTGGGGGAGGGAGGGTCAAATGGCAACAGCAAAGCAAAGCAAAATATTGAATATAAATTCAAATCATATAACCAATTCTAAGTTCTTTGACTACAGTTATTCTGTGTCAAATATTTAATTACAATCCAAATTCAGACCTGAATCAAGCGCGAATATTGTTTCCATTTTTGCCCCAACTGTTCAGGGTTGGACCTCTGCAGTCGTATCCAGCTGCACTCGGCAAGGCAAATTATTATTTTTGTGAAATATATCCAGTCGCAATTTTTGCAATAATAAAAACATCACAATAATTTCTAAATTTACTGTAGTTTCTGTATACTTGTCATGATATAATAGAATTGAGAATGGAAACGGGGAATGCTTCAAAGAAACAACAACCCGACCAGAGAGCAGAAAACAACCCAAGGCCACCAAAGGGTGTTCAACATAGGGAAAAAAACCATGCACCTGGAGGCGGGCTTCTGCTGGCCCCTAAATAATAATGTATGCTAGTTCAACTGGTTTCATCATTGACCTGATAGATAAGTACATGAACAAATTGAATTAAAAGTATAAAGCATTGTATTCATGTCTATTTTCAAAGATATTTTCAGCAGCAAAAATATATTTCCAAATATTTTACTGTATGTGCTAAATGAGAGATATTATAGCAGTAGGTTATTAGTATTTATATGGACATATAACTTACCAATTTAGCAGAGTTTTTCTTTCATGGGATTTATTCAGTGTTTATAAAAAGAAGATGTGGTATGATTGTCAATGAGACAACTCTCCACAAGAGACCAAATGACATAGAAATTAACAACTATAGGTCACCGTACAGCCTTCAACAATGAGCAAAGCCCATACCGCACAGTCCGCTATAAAAGGCCCAGAAATGACAATGTAAAACAATTCAAACGAGAAAACTAACGGCCTAATTTATGTACAAAAAAGGAACGAATAACAAATATGTAACACATAAACAAACGACAACCACTGAATTACAGGCTCCTGACTTGGGACAGGCACATACATACAGAATGTGGCGGGGTTAAACATGTTAGCGCGATCCCAACACCCCCCCTAACCTGGGACAGTGGTGTAACAGTACAACATAAGAACAAACTATAAAAATCATTTGTTTATATTCATTGGTTAATGTTATTGCATGTATTTGAAAGGCTTTCGTCTTTTCAAAATATGAATTAGTTCAAAATACATATACACTAGAGTGTTTTACAAAGTTGCAGTTTGAATTCATCTCGACAAACTGATCAACTGGTAAAATAAATAAGCGCTTTTCTAGTGAAAGGTTGTTAGTCAAAAGCAAGTGCAGTGTAATAAAATATTTTCCGGTGCTTCCCATCAAATTCCAGAGATTGACTATATGTTTCAAGAATTTGTTACAATTTTGATCACCTTCTTATCAGTAACTAAAGTTAAAAAAAGTTTAACTTGGATATGAAATATAATAATGACATCTTATAAGTTATTAGTTCTAAACATTGTTTTATTGACCAATGAATTATTACTTTTGTTTTCTAACAAAATATATATACAATTTGATAAGTTTTTCTATAGTAATTACTTGAGTGCTAATTCAATGGCATGGAATCATGTTATGCATAATTAAGTTTACATCACTTAAGAAAAATGCTTTTAACATTTTTTTACAAAATTTTCTCTGATCTCATGAATTAATTTTTTCAGAACACATAATGACAGCTAAACAATCACTGAAACATTGTAAAGAACACATTTGTTATAAACTGTCATGATGATATGTATCAGAGTCAGACTTTTAAAACTTTTCTTATAACTAGGTGCTCAAAAAAACACATGTCAAAATCACTGCATTTGAAAAGAGGAATAACATTTTTATTTCGCTGAACTTGCTTCAGAATTATCAACTAACAACGTTTCACTACAGTTGACTAAAATGTTGCAAGCTGTTCTATTGAAAAGATGATTTTGAACTGCAATTTGGGAAAACATTTAAGCAAATAGATATTGTGAAAGTACAGAGCTTTTT